GGCCAAGACAGCAGAGACAGCGAGTGAGAAAATGATACTGAAGGCAGTTTGTCGAAGAAGGCAGGTGGCTCTCCTTGGGCGGCCAATGAAGAGGAAGGAGGCCAAGAAGGAAAGCAGGAGGGAGACCAGGAGCATATAAGAGAGGTCCCGATTGTTGGCTTTGACTATAGGTGTTTCTTGGAATTTAATGAAGATTCCCAAGACAAGCCCTGTGGTTAAAGAAAGGAAGAAAGTAATGGAAGCCAGGATGATCCCCAGATTTCCTTGATAGGATAGGAAGGTGATAATCTTGTGTATACAGTGATCCCGATGGATGTTTGGATATTGATCTTCTGGACATTGGTTGCATTTTTCTGCATCTGAAAAAAGCAAAGGTAAGATTTCTCATTAATCATATACTTTAAAGAAATGCATTGGGAAACTGGGATAGTGTGAATGACTGCATGTGAAGGAAATCAGTCTGCAGTAAGAAAGGGAGGAAAGGGTATGTCCTCCCTTGTTCACAAAGAGTCTGGGCTTACATCTGCTGAGTATACTTTAACTTGGTGTCCAAAAATGATGAGTGAAGGAGAATTTTAGGGCCAAGCTGGAAGCCCTCATCGAAAGACATCTTCCCAGGGAAAACAAGGCGCTGGCTCAGTTACATAGTGCCAAAGGAGGAAACTCCCCCCTCCCCAAATGCACTTTACCAAGGAAACCCAAACTGTCCGCTCAACCATAAAAACTTTAGAAGACCAAGGGAAGCTGAGAGGCAGGAAGAAGATCCCAAGAGGTGAACCCAGAGTCTGGAACCAGGGAACAGTTTGGTGAACCCCATAAGAATAACTTTTTAGGAGGAAGCTATGTTCATAGAACTCTGCCTCTTTATTCCTTCAGCCCCCATTGTCTTTGTAATCTTGCCTCATTACCTCCTAGTTACACCCTCATGGCCTCACCAACCTTGCTAGGCACTTGGTATGTTAAGTCAAGTGAAATCTCTCCAATCAAACCATATAATTTATTTTTTGCAGTCTACAAAGGGAGAGTCTATAATTTCTTACTTCTTTAGACTTCTCTTTGCCTCCAGTGCTGTCAATGTTTCGCTTTGTGTTTCAAAGTAATGTGTTCTCACCTTTGCTGTAAATATATCCCTGGAAAAATCAACTAAGCAGAGAATTGGATTCAATGGCCCCTTCCAGATCTGAATCTTCTAAAAGGCCATCAGTTTCCCTGATGAACTCAACCAATGTCCCATTAAAAAAGTGCAATTCCAGATTTAGCTGTGGAGAGATGCAGATATTCTATCTGGTCTGTGCTTGCCCTGTTTGGTAAACTCCCCTCTTTCTTTCCCCTTCCTCCCATTGCTCGACAGCAAAGACCGATTACTTCCCTTTCCTTGGGCAGATCCTTTGGAGAATGATGAGAACAACCACCAGAGTGTTATGCTTCTTCCTTTCCCTCCAACTAGAAGGGGAAATGGTCTGAACTGTTCTTCCTTTGACTATGTGTTTTTTTAATGTCAGTTTCATCAGGGAAGGAAGGAAGGAAGGAAGGAAGGAAGGAAGGAAGGAAGGAAGGAAGGAAGGAAGGA